TTGAACTTAGGACCTTGCACTTGCCAGGCGGGCACTTATGCCACTGAACTATGTCCCCGGTCCGTACCTTTTTTTTCTTTCTAAGGAAAACCCAAACATTTACTTTTTTGGCAGCTATATATCTATCCTAACTATTTTAAATATACAGAAACAAAATGGCCATTCATTTGTATCCCCCTTTTTTGTTTAATTTTGTCAGAGAAGGGTATTTCATTATCATTTAAATATTGTAGGTGCATGAATTCAGCAAAATATGCCAATATAGTCCAATAGTCCATAATAGTAGTGGGTTTTCTGTAGAACTGGCAATGTCAGAGGTTGTTGACTTGAGCCTTTTACAGCTCAGCATATTAATATGGCTTTACTTTTTATACTTTTCTGCTGGATGGCTAAGATGATGATAAAACAAGACCTCTATAAAAGGAAATGTCACTTTTTTTATCTGAGAAGGTCAGTCAAATCCCCTCAGGATTTAACCTGAAACCCTGTATTGCAGTTTGTAGATCCTTTATGAGTGTCAGTGATGTGGATGAGTCATGCCTATTGCTTGAACCATTTGTTCTTTGTGAAAACTTGAGAGAATAGTAGTGAGAAAAGCCACTACTAGTATGGGCTACTACCCATGTGACTCTCCTTAGGCACACTCTACATCATCGATCGCTTTCCTCTGTGGCCCCATAATCTCCTTGGTCAGAAAATCTGGGACACAACTGAGTTATTTGAGAGTCAGTATAGCAGTAATTGGTATGATGTGAGAAGTAGTACACATTTAGAAAACCAGAATGACAGGCATTCCAAGCATGACTGTACACACTACATTATATTCCCCATTTGACCCCTGGTTTCAAAAGCCCACCAAATAAGCACTCTTTGTAGCACTGGGCTGAGTCTTCCTCTCCTTTCAGCTTCTTTGTTGGTCACATTTTACCTTAAGCCTTCCTCACCAGCTGAGTGAACAAGATCCACAGTAATTTTGCTCATGACTACAGTTTCTGATAAAAAGAAATATTCAGCTTCACTAACTGCAATGGAACACCCATCCCTGACAAAACAAAATAAAAAAAGGGGGATGTGTTGGGAGCCACAGAAGTTAGGAAATTGATTAGATGTGTGTAGATGGGACTAGGTCTCAGTACCTAAAGCAAACAAGCTACCTCAGTGCTGAGATAAGCATCTTGTCTGGTTAAAGTCTGCTATTAGTTGTTAGGCAATCTTGTGTCATGTTACTAACTTTGCAAAAGTATAAATAAAAGACCATTTTTTTGTAAAAAAATATATGTATACACAAGATAAGGTAGATATACAGCTACTTTCTCTTAGTTCATTGAGAAGAAAGGTTTATATGAATATTGTTCAGACAAAATATCATTGCTGCATCTTGTCCTCTAAATGACTACTACAAAGACAACAATATACAATGTATTAATTATTGTAACTGACTTACCTGTTTTGAAACTGTTTCATTGCTATTTTTTCTCATTAAAATGAATAAAAAAGGCTTATATTAAAAAATACATGGTAGCACATTAAATTAACATTAACTCTAGCAAGGAATTCTCTTCAGTATGTCTCAAGTAATATTTTTCCTTTATTTCAATGTATATAGACATGGACAATGATAAATTACTCATTTAACTGATTCCCTATATTATTTACTTTAACAGTTCTATCTCTGATATTTATGAAATTTCTTTTTCACCCTATTCTCCAATTACAGACATCTTCAGGAATCAGTCAACTATTAACTATAACATAAGTCTTTCTGCATTTGCTTTCTTCATGGAATTAGTAGATGAATATTTTTCAAACTGCAGGCTTTCTTAGGATTTATTTTCTCCATTTGCCCATATTGTTTTGTACTATTAGACCTATCAATAGATGTTTGCTGACTAAATGAATAAATATGGACAATAAATCATTATGAGTTGCCAGTGTTTGCTAGTGTTACTGATGAAATAAGATTTTGTAGAAAGTTATTTTAAAGCTAAGGTAGTATGTTTCATATGGAACATTGCTTTCTGTTTGCTATTAAAGACATTTGTTATAATAAGATAGAAACAGCATATAAAATTGATAAGTGCATCAATAGCAGTTAGAATTTCTGCCAACAGAGTTAGGAAACCAAAACCACAACATTCCTACTCCGAAGCTATGAGTATCCATCAAAGATGTTTGCACAGAGGCTTAGACTCTAGGAGCTGAAATCCTAGGTTTAAATAGGATGCATGATACTGCTGTTTTCTTCTCTGGGGTAAATCAAGATGAAATCTGTTATAAATGGAGTTTGAAGTAATTTTTGAAAATCAATTTCTCTTTGAAGTCCAGCATGTTGACATTATAAGCACCAGCTAAGGATTATCCTGCAGGAAACTACAATTAATATAGGTTAATAGTGATAAGCATTGCTGCAAGTTAGACACGTGACAAGCAGCACCTCCACAAACGGAGCAGACTTACTGCTACGGGGAGACCTCAATATGTTTAAAATATTCCATTATTTCAATTCCCACTTCAAACTTTCAAAAGATGACAAAAGTTAGACTGTTTGTCCACATAAAGCAGGCCACAAAAATCACCTGACTGTAAATGAAGGCTAGTGTTCAATATGTTACAAATGAAACATTTATTTTCATTATAAATTTTGGACATATTTGGTATTGTAAATAAACTCAGATTTTGGAAGACTTTCTATCCTACTGAGAGTACGTGAAGTCTAGGGCAGCTCTACTTAACTATCGTGAATAATCAGGATGTCCTATGATTTTATTTTTTTATTTTTTATTTTTATTTTTTTCAGGATGGATAAGAGGTTTATTCGCCTCATTAGTGAAATAGGGCCATTCATTAACGGCGAGCACAAGAAAAGACTTCGGGAAGAGACAGGCGGTTGTTGCTCTACGCGACAACTAGCTGCGGAGACTTGCTCCCTGAAGGTCGCGTCTCGTTTATGGGCACAGTGTACACACTGTGTTTCCAGGTAGAGGACAAGAGGAAGGGGCAAGAAGAAGGCAGACAGTGCAAGGCAGGCCGCCTGTTAAGAATGAAAAGTATAAGTAAAAATGTAGCCTTTGTATCTGTTGCTGAATTCAAGTACCTACAATTGAATGGACATCAGGTGTTAAAAGGTCCTTTAAAGACTTCCCCAAATACAGCTTCTCTAACAGTAAGGGAACACCCATCTCAACAAAACAAAACAAAACAAAACAAAACAAAACAAAACAAAACAG